TAAAATACAAGAGCAAATATAAAAAAAAAAGATTGGCTGAAAAGCCAAGAAGGACTCAGGCAGTTCTGGAATTCACTAGTATGGTCAAAATCTCGAGTGTGTCCAGAATAGGAACCCCTGGTTGCCAAAAATGACCATCCAAGGGGCAGCTAATAATCAGCATTCATCATTGTCCTTCGCAAAAAAAACCCAGGCAGCCCTTAGACAGCCAAAATTACAGGCACCACAAAAAAGCATCGGACTTAAGGCAACAAGTAGACATTCTGCATACATCTTCAGAACAGCAACTCCCCCAAAAGACTCAATTTTGTTTCCAACCATTAGATTTAAGAATAATAGATTTTCTAACTTTAGCTATGCGTGTGGCTTGGCAATCGATAATACCTCCAAAAATCCTCTCATTCCTAGCTCTCCATAGGAAATAAATATTGGCAGAAGCAGTGAGGAGGTAAAAATTTCTGGATTCGGACATTAAAACCTTGCTCAAAGATACTATCATAAACCTGATGCAAGTTTGGCCTCGTCATTAGGCTATTGAGCCAAGGAAGTAAAGTTTTGGCGACATTGAAAGTGAAGCTGCATTCATAAAATAAGTGGGATAAAGTTTCCAAATCACATTGGCAAAAACAGCAAGTGTTATGAGTGATAATCCCACGGTCAATCAGAACGTCTGAGGTTTTCAAGCCTCCTTTGAAAGCAAGCCAGACATAAACGGAGTAACGAAGAGTAGTTTTTTTATGCCACACAAATTTGTACCAATTTACAGTATCCAAATTGCTATAAAAGTTGGTACGAAAATCTTGAAACTTAGGATTTTGCTTGCCCAACCAGTGATGATTCTCCTCATGGCTATTAATACTAACAGATTGAATAAGAGAAGATAAGTGGTTGTCAAAAGTAGAAGGAATAGCCCAGTTATTCCCATTTATAATATTATCCACCTTCCAATCAAAGTATTGAGTGTAACCAGAAGTGGAGTTCATTTGTTTCAGATAATCAGCAATCGACATACCACCACACCAAGGATCCCAGATGAGCGAAAGCCTACAGGTCGGGTAGACAGAGAAAGAGATACAGTGTTTTATACTCACAGCTTTATTGCACAGAAATTTTCAGTGTTGAGAGCAGTTCTTAGTCAAGTCATTCCACAAGGATTGGTATTTAGCCTCCACCAATCAAACAGTAAATTACTGGAATTTAGAAAACGCTAGATAAGAGAGCAAGAGAAACTGTGGTAGAGAGAATCAATGGATGGTATGCCTAAACCTCAATTTTGCTTTGGGTAGCAGGTGTTATTCCAAGACACAATGTAAAGCTTTCTAAGGTTTTTGTTACCAAAGAAAGTAAATCTAGAGCACATGCGAGTAATCAGTTTGCAGCAGCTTTTAGGTATAATAGATCCACGTATCCAGTACGCAAGATTATTACAAATGCTAAACTTAATGTACTGAATCCTACCCGTAAGGGACAATGTTTTTGCTCTCCAACCATCCAAGAGAGAAGTAATTTTTTGCAATAAGGGTTGGAAATCCTTCAGTTTCAGCCTCTTGTAAAAAATGGGAAGACCTAGGTAAGTCATAGGAGTGAAGGATTGCTATATGCCAAGAATACCACAAATATCAGATGCATAAGGAGCATTTTTGGAAATCAAAATAGAACTTTTCTGAGGGTTGACATGGAGTCCAGAAACCACCTCAAATTTGCTAAGGATAGAGTTAAGCGTGAGAGCATTGCAGGAAGAGGCAGTGCCACAAACAATTAGATCATCGGCAAACATAAGATGAGTAATCATGCAGCTACCAGTTTGAATACCACTGAAGTTACCATTGGAAGAAGCTAAGTCAAAGCAAGAAGATAACCCATCCATAATGATGCTGAAAGGTAAGGGGATAATGGGCATCCTTGCCTAATACCAGAGGTGGAATTGAAATAGCCTTCCAGCACCCCATTAATGCAAACAGAGAAGTGAACATCCGTGGTGCAAGCCTTAATCCAAGAAATAAACATATCAGGGAATCCTTTGTCTTCATGCCTTTTGTAAAGAAAGTATATAGAGACCATGTCAAAGGCTTTGGTAATGTCAAATTTGGCACAAAAGAATTTATGCCTAGAGTTGTGATTAAAGCTACTCAAAAGATCAGTAGCTAAGAGGATGTTATCAGAAATGATCCTTTTATGGATGAAGCCTCCTTGACTAGGATTAATAATGTAAGATATTTTTTAATTTAAATTTTTTGATATATATTTTTTAATACAAATCTTCTTTAATAGGAAGATTTGTCACGGGATAATATTTCATTTAATTAAAATTATCTGGCAATATGCAATTTGTTAATAAATATGTTTGAGAAGAAAATAATAATCACTATTATTTGAATTATTATAATTCTTTAGAGTTATTAAAATTATTTATCATAATTAAAATATGTAATTTTTTTTTGCATAATATATTCTTATTATTGATTTTTTTAATATTTTCCTTTTTTTCTCTTATATCAGCATCAATGGAATCTAATAAAGATGTATTTTTTATGATTCCAAATTTTATAGTAGAGTTTTATTTTTTGATTGGGACAACTTTTTTATTACTTTATAAAACAATTTTCTAGCATACAAATTTTTTAAACTTGAAAAATTTAACTAGAAAACTATTCTAGAAAGCAATAAAAAAGCTATACAAATGAAGCCTTGGGCTTGTTTGGGACTGCTTTTTTGTTGTTTATTTAAAAAAACTTTCTAGTATAAAAATTACAAAAATATTATATACTAGAAAACTATTTTAAGAAGTACAAAGAAAGCCGTTCCAAACAAAATCTTAGTCTTGTGTTATAATCTCTTCATCATGGGCATCAGATCATTTATTTGAGAGTATTCAGTCTTCATCCTCATTCTCTTAATTATCCATATGTTCCTAAAGAAACAATTGGAATTGAACTTGAGCCTAGGGGTGCAAACGAGTCGTGTGGAGCTCGAGTCGGGGGTATTCGAGCCGAGCTCGACTGTCAAAAATCGAGCTCGAGCTAGAACTCGAGTCAAGCTAGAACTCGAGTCGAGCTCAAACGTTCAGCTCGAGCTCGACTCGGCAACATAAAATGAGCTCGTCGAGCCGCAGTTTGAGCCTGTTAACGAGCCCTGCGTCTGTGTCGTCCGCGGTCCACCTGCGTCGTTCGCATTTGTCTGCGGCAGCGTCTAGGTCATCCGAATCTTCTCGCAAATAAGACGAAAAGTGAAAGGTTCCAATTATGCTTCCGCATCGTCTGCAGTCCACCCGCGTTCGTCACTGAGATGTTTACACAACATCTGCATTCGTCAGCGGCAGTGTCTACCCGAACTCGCGTCCGCCATCGTCATTCAGGCTTGTCCGCCGTCAAGATCCGCATGAGAGTTTCGTTGATTTGGATTTCCAGCTCGCGAGAGCTCTGTCATTTTCGATTTCACGCTCGGACCTCCGTGTATTAGGATTTCCTGCCGTAAGCTCCGCCGTCAAGCTACTCGTCGAGCCGATGAGTCGAGTCCAAGGCTTGTTCGAGCTTGAGCTCGATAAGCCTTCGAGTTCAAAATTATGTTCGAGCTCGACTCGCGAGCTCGATAAGCACAACTTGTTGAGCCTGTTACCAAGTCAAGTTCAATCCGGCTCACGAGTCGGCTTGACTCGGTTGCACCCCTACTTGAGCCTAGGGGTGTTAATTTCGGGTCACGGGTCGGGTTCCGAACCGCGGAACCCGACCCGCTTCGGGTCTGGGTCAACCCAACCCGACCCGAATGACCCGTTTTCAATAAAAAAATTGCTAATTTTCGGGTCAAAACGGGTCAATCTCCTCTTTTTGGGTCAAAATCGGGTTGCCGGGTCAAAATTGGGTTTTTGGGTCAAAATCGGGGGGTCAAAGGGTTAACCCGACCGATTTTTGAAACGGGTCGAAATGTTGAACCCGAACCCGACCCGTTTCTGATTCGGGTTGATCCTAACCCGAATTTTTCGGGCCGAATTCGAGTCGAATTTTCGGATCGTGTTAAATATTGACACCCCTACTTGAGCCTCATTGTTTTGCAGCTTTAGCTATAGTGGACGTTTCCTATAGAAAGGTCTAGGAGTACTAGTTGTTTAGTAAAGCATTTGTCCGTTTGGTTCAACAAACCATGTAATATTCCTCCAGAATATGACTATGATGTTTCTTTCTCAAATGGAGATTCAACTTATATTCATGAATATAGGCTTCTTTATAAGATGTCAATGGATAGAGGTAGAACTCAAGATCAGAACCTTTACGACATTGTTGAGCGTTTCTTTTGGCCTCTCCTATATGCTTAAGGTTATGCCCCTTCTATTTTTCTTATAAGAAAATAATAAATTTGAATTTTGCTATATATTTTCTTATAAGTGATGAAATTTTGTATTTAATAAAATTTTTAATTAAAAATAATTAAATAAGATATATTAATTGAAATTTAAATAAATCATTATGATTAAATTAACTTAAAAGGCTTAAATATTATATTTTTTATTTAATATAGTTTAATCCTTAAATCCTAAATAATTAGCCAAACAATTTACATAAATTTAATTATATTCAACATCTACCATATCTAACAACTTTTATGATTTAAACTATTGATCGTGTAGTTAAATCCTACTTTAGCTGAAGGGCTGAACGGTTCAAGTACTTGTTTGGATCTGGGCTCTCAAGTGAAATAAGAATATATGGGCGACTATCGGCCCACGGGCCCAGTTATTTTAACCGGACGGTTTGTTTGAACCGTTACGTACCGGCTCACCGACGCTATGCCGACGAGCCTAACCACAAACGAAAACGCGTCGACGTGACGGGTCTGAGATCACTGGCCTGACTGCTTCGCTTTCCCGCGGAACAGTCCAGTAAACCGAAACCAACGCATCAGAATCCAATCATTTTACTCCAAACAACGGTAAGTGCACATCTTCTAAGTTTTGTTAGGTTAATTAGCATTACAACTTATCAATATCAATACCTTCGTAATAGCACATTTTAAACAGCGCAGTGCGAAGTGCGAACTGCGAACTGAGAGGGTGAGGGGTAGAGAGTGACGCCGCGTCCCAAATGGCGATCGCGACCCAAAACCCTCGCCGGATCTCGATTCCAAACCCTTCCTTCTTCTCCCTCATCATTTCTATAGCCCTAACGATTTGCGCCTTTCTGTTTTTCCCGTACTCCACCGCCGGCGGTGGAGCGACCACCTTCTCCGCCTCGCTCGATCACTACTTCCTTGGTGTTCCCGTTCCCCGAAGAAACCTTCTTTCCTTCAAATCCGATCCCATCCGCCTCCGTATCGACCAGATCCGTAAACAGGCCACTGACCACGCTGCACTTGCCTCCGCCTACGCCTCTTACGCCCGCAAACTCAAGCTCGAGAACTCCAAGCAGCTCCGTCTCTTCGCAGACGTCTCCCGCAACTTGTCCCTCCTTCTTTCAGACCACCGTCACCTTCTCGACCCCTCCAACCCCATCGACGAGTCCGCAATCCGACGCCTGGACCGTAAGGTCAAGGATCGCATCCGCGCTGCTCGAAGCCTAATCACCGACGCCAAGGAATCCTTTGACAACCAGCTTAAGATCCAGAAGCTCAAGGACACGATATTCGCCGTCAACGAACAGCTCGCCAAGGCCAAGAAGCAGGGCGCCTTCTCCAGCATGATAGCGGCCAAATCCATCCCCAAGAGCCTCCATTGCCTCGCGATGCGACTCATGGAGGAGCAAATCGCACATCCCGACCGCTACGCCGAACCCGATACGCCGCCCCCAGCGCTTGAAGACCCTCGACTTTATCATTATGCTATCTTCTCCGATAACGTTCTTGCTGCTTCCGTGGTTGTCAATTCCGCCGTGAAGAACGCCAAGGACCCAATGAAGCACGTCTTCCACGTCGTCACCGACCGGATGAACCTTGGCGCTATGCAGGTCATGTTCAGGCTCAAGGACTACGGTGGCGCCCATGTTGAAGTTCGCGCCGTTGAGGACTATAAGTTCCTCAACTCCTCCTATGTACCCGTCCTACGGCAGCTTGAATCAGCAAACTTGCAGAGATTTTACTTTGAGAACAAGCTGGAGAATGCCACTAAGGATACAAACAATATGAAGTTTAGGAATCCGAAGTACTTGTCTATGCTTAATCATCTCAGGTTTTATCTGCCAGAGATGTACCCGAAGTTGCATAGGGTTCTGTTTTTGGATGATGATGTGGTGGTGCAGAGAGATCTCACTGCTTTGTGGAAGCTTGATATGGATGGGAAGGTGAATGGAGCAGTGGAGACTTGCTTTGGGTCGTTCCATCGTTATGCACAGTATATGAATTTCTCTCATCCGCTGATCAAGGAAAGATTTAACCCAAATGCATGTGGATGGGCTTATGGGATGAATTTCTTCGACTTGGATGCATGGAGGAAAGAGAAGTGCACTGAGCAGTACCATTACTGGCAAAATCTTGTAAGTAGCTGTTCATTTGCACCCTACGTACTGAGTTCTGGTTTCTGTTACGAATCTTTAACGTTTAAACTTCTCTCAGGAAAATTTAAAATTTTTGTTGCTATGATTTCTTACAGCAAATTGTCTTAGTTTTAGAATGTACGTTATCATAGAGCTTGTTTTGAGAACCTTGTATTAATATAAGTTTTGGGAATTAAATTTGCTAAACCTTTATGTTTTTGAATTGTGATAGAGATTGTTTGTTTTGCACTGAAAATCTTTAGGGAATGTCAAAATTAGGCTTCGTTTGGGATGAGCTTCTTGTTCCGTTTTCTAATATATTTTTTATTAAAAAGTTGCTTTAAGAAGCAACAAAAAAACATTCTCAATCGAAGCTTTAGTGTTGTTTCCTTTTTGGGAAGTCAGAATTAGTGTCAAGACTTAACCCAACTTGGTCTGTTGATTGGGAGCTTTAGCTACTAACTAAGAGGTCTTGAGTTTGAGTCTTACATTTGAGTCTTACATATGTGATTTGTGTATGAGTTTGTCTTAATCGGCCTTAAATGTCCCCAAAAAAAGAATAGCCTCAAGAGGACTTTTTTTAACGTAAAAATTGTGCATGAATAAGAACAAGTCGCTACCAAAAGAAAAATCTGAATTTCATGAATAAATTTTCATACGAGGATCTGTGTTTGTAAAAACTAGTCTCTACTTATGGTAAAAAACAATATTGTGCTATCAAATTTTCTTACATACAATTTTTTGAGAAATTATTAGATGTAGACAATTAGTGAGGAAGTTGTATACGACTATGTATAGCCTTCTATGTTTTAATTAGATATGAACACCTACCCTCGTGACAGGGGTGGAGAGAGGGGGCCTAGGGGTGCACGTGCCCTCTTACCTCCGAAATTTAGAAAAGCCCGCGTCAGACGTTTCCCCCGCAAGTAGTTTCTAAAAAAAGTTGAAATTTGCTTGCATATCTTCATAGAGTATATTGATTTTTTATAATACACATAAACGGTAAAGTGATTATTTTAATCTAAATATAAAAATCAGCTGCAGCAAGATTAAAATTAAGCCACCCCTTTAAAATTTTCTTGACTTCTCCACTGCCTTGTGATGCTATCCGCACCTAATAAACTATTGTATGATGACTAAGGAGCATGCCATTGGAATTGTCTCTGTTATGAAACCCTTTTGTTTGACTTCCCTCTCCCGTGTTGAAAAATGATCATTTACACCAGCTTTATGAGCATTTTCCTTGATTCACTGGCTTGCTTTCAACCTTTTGTTGACAACATTCCAACTGCAATTATTTATCAAAGTTAGTAACAGTAATTTGATTTTTATACCGTTGCAGAATGAAAATCGAACCTTGTGGAAATTGGGGACTTTGCCGCCAGGCTTAATCACATTTTACTCGACAACAAAGCCACTTGACAAATCTTGGCATGTTCTAGGACTTGGTTACAATCCCAGTATAAGCATGAATGAGATCAGAAATGCTGCAGTCGTTCATTTCAATGGAAACATGAAGCCATGGCTTGATATTGGTATGAACCAGTTTAGGCCGCTCTGGGCAAGGTATGTAGACTATGACAATGACTTCATTAGCCTGTGCAATTTTGGAGCATAGAGCAGAATGTTCATGGCCAATGTTGCAAATTCTTACTGTGTAGAGAAAAGCAAAAATTGTATGGAGGTTGAATGGTTGGGTAATTTGCAAAAAGTTAGATGTGTTTTTGCATAATTGCCAGTTAAAAAATGATTATATGTAGAAGCTTGACCTGCTATTAAGAAGGGGCCATAAAAATTTTGTACATGGTTGTGAACAATCATTCTTTTAAGGTGCAAATGTTTGTGTGCAATTATGTATGTACTACGCAGCTTATCTGGATCCGTTGGATGAGAGCTTTGGCTACCAATCATACAAAATTACTTTAAAAAGCAATAAGAAAGCTGACCCAAACAAAGTTTGAATTTTTATTATAAAGTTGTCTTTTTAACAAAATTAGATTAACTTGTGAAAAACACTCATAAATATTTGCTCATATTCCTAAACTTGAGTTTAAAAGACTACAAATGGTTGTTTGCAATGCCAAATTTTTGAAAAATAGCCTCGTATTTCTAAACGAAGACTATTTATGTCTACCTTTACCTTTTTTAACATAGGTTAAATCTAATATATCTACTCTTCTAACTGGTCATTAGAAGGTAGCCGTTTTATGTGACCAAATCATCTAAGTCGACTTTCTCTAATCTTATTTATCATTAGAGCTGCTCCAACATTTTCACGTATGTAAAATGCTATAAAAAATTTAAAGAAAGTCTATGAAAACTTATAGAATGCGCATATCTAATAATTGCATTGATGTTCAAAAGTTTATAAATGACAACAAAAAATCTTACAAAATAGAAATTGGATTGATTAGCACCTTAATAAAACTATGATGAGAATAACTGTTGCTCTAAGTTCAAATGATGAAATAATCTTCTTCTAGAAAATTGTAAGCAACGGGGGAGAAAAATCAACAATTTGATATATATTATAAACTTACAATTAGGGATGAAATTAATCTTTCTTTTGAGAGCGAGTAAAATATAATTAGAGAGTTCATAGCCTTAAGGGAGAAATAGAAAATAAAAATTTTTCCTTTGAATTTTGGACGGATACATTTATTAAAGGAAGGACAAAATAATTAAAATGTTTATATTGATAAGAAAAAAAACCAAATGGAATTGGACAAATAGGATTTGTATGTAAAAATTATGTTTTAGATCCGCGTAAAATCTCACACCAAGAGTTCATTTGGGATAACCGCAACTTCTTATATAGGTGTTTGTAAAAATGTCGTGGAGAAAATATAGCTTTTTTGAAAGTTACTGTAGAATGCAGCTTCCCAGTAAACGGACAGAGTTCTTATTGCTTTGTAAAACTGGTGTGAAGAAAGTAATTTTTTGAAGTTAATGTAGAAAGCAGCTTTCTAATAAGAAAATTGTCTCAAATATAAATTATAATTGTGGTCTGAAAAATAAAACAGTAAGAAAATTATCCCAAATAAAATCATAATGAAAATAATGAAAAATAATGATCAAATAAAAATTATGATTCTAACTTAAAAAAAAAATGAAGTCCTAAGAAAAATGTTCTAAGGGATTATTATTGTTGCGTCCTGGAATATTCGCGGCGGTAGAGAAATATTTAGCTTAACGTCTTAGCATATTACGAAGATCCAGTACACAAGCAGATAAGTGAGAGGGTGTAGCGTTCATAAAAGACACCAAAGTTTTTACGTGGAAAACCCCTGAAAAAGGGGGAAAAACCACGGGGCCTGGCCCAGTTTGAATGAATCCACTAGTAATTGTAGTCGATTACAAATGAGGCCCTTCCTTGGGAGAAGGCCTTGGATTGATGTAGCAAATGTACATCACATAGATTGCATTACATGGTAAGAGTTACATATACAGGTTTGTTTGGCCTGAAAGACCGTGGTCGGCAGGAGACCGGAGTCGGCAAGAGACCTGGGTCAGAAAGACCGTTGTTTGTTGATGGAGGTCGGAAGGACCATAGTAGGCGACAAAGGCCTGAAGAACTGTAGTCGGCAGGAGACCGTAGTCGGCAGGAGACCGTAGTCGGCAAGACCGTTGTCTGTTGATGGAGGTCGGAAGGACCATAGCAGGCGACAAAGGCCTGAAGAACTGTAGTCGGCAGGAGACCGTAGTCGACCGGAGACCGTAGTCGGCCGTTTCTTTCTGCTTCTTAAAGCGGCTTTTTAGTTAAAAAAAAAATTGTACTAAAAAACCGCTTTAAGAAGCATAAAGAAAGCCGTCCCAAACGAAACCTTAGGCTCTCTGTTTGAGATAGCTTTCTAGCTGCTTTACATTTCAAATAAGAATCATAATTTTATTTTGCTACTATTTTTTCTTTTCAATATTTAAATAATAATAATAATAATAAATTATATGTTGCAACTAGAATAATTCATTTAGTTTTTTCATAATTACTTCACATATAATTTTATAAAATGTTATAGCCGTCCTAAACATACCTTTGATTACAAGTATTAAGTGTTGAGTTATGAATTTAAAATTTCAGTTATTTGATTGAAACAATTAAAAAAAATAATTTAAATTCTAATTTTTTATATAAATAATCAAATATCAACAAAAAATTTAAATACATTATTTTATTTATAATATATTTTAAATATACCAAATCTTCAAATAAATCAAACGAAAGTGAGAAATTTTTAGCTGCAAAATAAGGATAGAAGAACCGTCTGAATTTTACAAAAGGTTCACAGTAAAAATAAAATTATATATTTACTATATATTTATAATATACCCTTATAAAATTAGGATAATTCAGGAAATAAATTGGTTGAAAAGAGAAGAATCATCGCTTTATTCTCCTGCTAAGGTTTTGCATCCTGCGTTCCATGGCCACCTCTTTCTATGCTCCTTTGGGGAGGATCTCCGCTGGGATGTCCTCCTCCATTCTTCCACCGTTCCTCCCTCCTTCTTGTGTTTCTTCCTCCTCTGTTGGTTTACCACGAGATTGGAAGAGTCTCATCGCCACTCAGCCTCTTGTGTCGAATGAGTTAACTTCTTCGATTTCGCATCATCCGACCGAAAACGCCACCGCTCATTTCACTTCGGCACAGTTCAACACCAGAAGTTCTGAGTGGGCTCTCTCTCTCTGGTGGGCTATTCCATCGAACGTCGAACATACTACGAAGCCCTTTTCTCTACCATCAAAAAAATATGGTCGCTCAAGGGTACCCTCTCTTTGCTGACCCTGGATGATGGTTTTTTCCTCCTCAAGTTCAACAATAGGGAAGATTATGATATGGCCTGGTCCGGGGGACCTTGGTTCTTCTTTGGCAAGCCTTTAATTTTACATAAGTGGACGCCGGATTTTGTTCCTGTCCGTGAAGAGTTCCTGTCGATCCCTCTATGGATCAAAATTAAAAAATTTCCCCTTTCCTGTTGGACGTCGGAGGGGATTTCCATGATCGCCAGTTGCGTTGGGGTGCCACTGGCTGTTGATGCTCTTACGGCTGCCAAGACCAGGCTCACCTTTGCTAGGGTGTGCATTCAGGTTTGCAGTAACTCTCCTCTTCCCAATGAGATTTACCATACCGTTGATGGAAAAGTCTTCCCTCTCACTATTATTTATGACTGGAAGCCAACCCATTGTTCCTTCTGCAATTCCATTATGCACGCCTCTAATGCCTGCCCAAAAAATCCTAATCCCCAACCCCCTCAGGTTGAATCTTCTAAACCTCGTAGCATAAGCTCTAGCCGTAAACCAAGAAATCCTAATCCAACGCCAAGACTTAATATCCCCAAACCTCCTCCACCTCCTCCTTCTATCCCTTTCGAGCCGCCTGTGGCCTCAGCTGCCTTACCAACTATTATCCAACCCACATCCCAAGATTAATTTGGTTTCTAACCTCAATTCCCCATCCACGGAATCTCCTCCTACATCCCCAACTTCCAAACCCATTTCAGCATCAAATTTTGATACTGCTCCTCCTAAATCACCTCAAATCCCTATCACCAACAAATTTGCCATTTTGACAGACCAAAATGATCTTACCTCCGGCCTGACCTTCACTCGTGCTTCCTCCCCTCCCCTTGCTTCTGAATAGCCGAAGGCTGTTGGTGGAGGTTATGCTGGCAGCTCCAGCATGGGGAGTGAAAAACAAACCATGACCATATCTGCCAATACGAAATCCACAAGATCCAAAACAGTCAAAAAGGCTACCTCCTCAACCTCCAAATCCCAATGACTAGCTTCCCTTCTATGGCTGCCTGGAACACCCGTGGGTTCAACAGCCCTGACAAAACCTTGTGTCGTAAGAATTTTGTCAATAAATTCAATCTTGACATGTTGTTCATTCTGGAAACCAAAATCTCTCCTACCAACTACTCTAACAGTTGGTTTCTCTCAAATCGCCGCATCTTCTCCCATGAAGGTTCTTATGATAACTTTGTCTGTGCTACCCCGGACAGGATTTGGCTCAAATGGAACACTAATAGTCTAATACTGTCAGCTTTAAGCATCTTTTTACTTCTAGTCAACTGGTGCATGGCTTGGTGTCTACGAATAGTAACGAGCAATTCTTCATTTTTGTGGTTTATGCCTCAAACAACTTGGTGGAAAGGAGAACTCTTTGGAAAGATATTTATGAAATTGTCAGCTCTATTTCATTACCTTGGATCATTCTTGGCGATTTTAACTGTTGTAGGTTTAGCCATGATAAAGCTGGCGGCTCTCTGCTTCAGGACAATAAGCTCTTAGATTTTCAAAATCTCATTTACGATATTGGGGCTCATGAACTTTCTTTGGTGGGGCACTTCTTTACTTGGTTTAATCAGAGAACTGATAACCCCATTCATATCAAATTAGATAGGATGTTGGTCAATGATGCTGGGCTGGGGAGATATCCTAACTCTTTATATACTGTGGATGACCCTTACATTTTGTATCACTCCCCCATTGTGTTGCAGCAGGGTGCTAATATTAATCTGAAACATCGGTTTCAGTTTAAAAACTATTGGGTATCCAAATCGGAATTTTGGGATGAGCTCATTTCCATTTTCTCTCAAAAGTTTCACAGCAGCCCTATCCACTATTTTTACCATAAGCTCAAGTCCTTGAAGCTTAAGATAAAAGTCAAAAGCTGGGCCTCCTCCACGTCTCTACACCGAGAAATCTCTGAACTTAACCTCAACCAAAACACCATTATTTCCCAACTCCAAGCCTCCCCCCTTGATCCCGATCTCAACCTGGCTTTAAAGATTACCAACCACAAGCTTGCTGATAGAAATGTTAATTGGGCTGATTAGATTATCCAACGTGCTAAAGCCAAATGGATATCCTGTGGGGAGGATGATCTCAAATTTCTTTATTCCAGAATCAATGTGAGGCATAATTCTAACCTTAATAAAGTCATTTCTACTGCCAATGAGACTTTCAACAGTCACACCAAGATTTCCAATGCTATCATACAACATTTTCAAAAGCTTTTCAACACCCCTCCTCCACCTTCTAACCTTGGCCGTAATGCTCCCATTCTTCACAAACTTCCTCACACCCTTGTTCCTCAACTTGTTGCCCCTATTTATGTGGAAGAGATTAAGAATGTCATTTTCTCTTCCCCTAATCATTCTGCTCCAGGCCCCGATGGCTATACTTTTGAATTTTATAAGTTCTCCTGGAATATCATTGGCAGGCAATTATGTGAGGCCTTTTGGTCCTTTTTTTCTACTGGTCTCTTCCTAAGCAAGCCAAGGCCACGGCCATCGCCTTAATTCCTAAGAAGCCTCATGCCAGCAACATTTCTGACTATAGGTCAATCTCTCTTTGTAACACGTTCTATAAGATTATAGCCAAAATTCTTGCCAACAAAATGAGAGAGATTATGCCTTACATTATCCACCCTAGCCCATGAAAGGATCATCTCCGATAATATCCTTTTAGCTTCGGACATTCTTTTGGATTTTAATGCTAAGGATAAACATAAAATGTTTTGTGCTAAGTATGATATACACAAAGCCTTCGACACTGTTTTAAGGGATTTTCTTATTAATCGTATGATTGCTAAAGGTTTTCCCCCTGTCTTTGTTTCTTGGATCAAAGGCTGTATTTATGATGTACATTTCTTGGTTTCTATCAATGGTGCTCTTGAAGGCTTTTTCAATTCTTCTTCTGGGTTGAGGCAAGGATGCCCACTGTTTCCTTATCTCTTCTGCCTGGTTATGAATAATCTTTCAGATTTTTTTGAGGAGGCTACTATTAACAACTCTTTCCATGGCACTGATTCTGGTAATGTCACCATTTCTCATCTCCTTTATGCTGATGATTTGCTAGTCTTTGGCAGGGCCACTGTTCAAAATGCCCTCACTCTTAATAGCATTCTTGAGGACTTTGCTGCTATCTCTGGCCTCCATGTTAACTCTACCAAGAGCACTCTTATTATTTCTAATAATGTGCACAATGAGGAGATTATATCTGATACTTTGAACATCCCTTTAGTCCATTCTCCTTTCAAATATTTGGGCATACCCATTTTTTGTAAGAGACTTAAGAAGTCTGATTTTCAGCCCCTAATCCAAAAAATTCAACTCTCTTTAGATGGTTGGAAAGCAAAAAATTTATCCTTGGCTGGTAGATTTCAATACCTTAAACACACAATTTACAATATATTGGCGTATTGGATTAGAAGTACCATCATCCCTAAAGGATGTTGCAAGGTGATTAACAGCATATGCTCTAAATTTTTGTATTATGGGGACATTCACAAGAAGAAGCTTCATGTCATTTCTTGGAAAAATACATGCTTGCCTAAACTTTGTGGTGGTTTGGGCATTTCGACCATTGAATTGCTGTATTACGCATTTGGTTGCTCTTTAATTTGGAGGTTTTACAATACTAAATGCTATCTTTTTAAATGGTGGAAGGCTAAGTATTTATCTTTTTGGAACACTGGTAACAAAAAATTGGGTATTTACTAGAAGTCCCTCTGTGGGGGTTGCTGCTAAACTGCCGGACTCTTTTCATTTTAGTCTTAATGGTAATTCCTCTCTTTCTTTCTTTTGGGAATCTCAGTGTTTTGGTTCCTCTATTGCTGACAGACTAAAGATGGATAACCTGGAACATCTCATTTACCCCCATAATTTAGCTGTTAACTCTGTTTTGGTCAATGGGAATTGGTCTCTTCCTCAAACCTTACCGCCTCACATTGCTGATATTATCAAATTTGTGCCTATTTCCGGTATGGTGGGTGACTGTAATTGGACTAATAAAGCAAAGCCTGTTTTTAAAACATTCAACATCTGCTTTTTCTTAGATAATCAGGCGATTCCTTGGCATAAGTTGGTCTGGCATAAGTGCTAAGCTTTACGTTTTTCTCTTTGCACCTGGATGGTTTTTAAGAAAGACCTTAAAACTGTTGATAATTTGATTCTTAGGGGGCTGGCTGTTAATCCTTTATGTGTTTTTTGCAATTGTTTTGAGGAGAATCATTTCCATCTATTTTTTGAATGCGATTTCTCATTCAATTTGCTGCTGTAGATTTTTCCCTCCATGAGCTGTATGCTTTTAAGGCCTAATCTTGCTCAAGTGTTTCATTATATTGATGATTGGGACTTAGACAAGAGCAGTAAAAACCGTTGTTATTTGTTCTCATTCAATTTGCTGCTGTATACTTTCTATGGAGAGCCCGAAATAACAGGCTGTTTGGCAATTCCTTTGACAGTCTATCTACTATTTCTGACAAGATTAAAAGGGCGGTGCATCAAAAAACTGTTAAATGGACATGAATTTGCTTTGGTTTCCTACTATGCTCATTGTTCTGTTTCGGTGGAGGCTGGACTGGAATTTGACGCTGCTGCAACCTGGGTATCTGCAATTCCTGGATGGCCCTATGGGGCAACCAGGTCTTGCTATTTTGAAGGACGATGATGAACGCAATCTATTTAGCCATCCCCTTGGACGGTCTTTTGGCAACCAGGGGATTTACACATCCTTTTGGATGATTTTTGCTGCCTGGAAGATCTACTCGAGTATTGCAATTCTGAGTCCTTCCAATTTTGTTTTATTCTCTCTGTTTTAGATTTCCTTTTCTTAAGCAGCTGTTTTTGTGCTGATAGGGTTTTGAGGTCTGCCGCCGGCTTGTGGTGTTTGCAGACCTTCTTTTACTGTAATTTCTTCATTTTTTAATGAATTGGGCTTAGGCCCCAAATATTCCTAAAAAAAAAAAAAGAATTAGGATAATTCTTTCATCCGAACTGTGCTAATAATCTCTCATTTAAGCTTTCAACGCAGTTTAATATAAAATTTGATAATTCGACTTTCACCCAAAGGCCGCAATTAAATTACTGAGTAATTGTCAATTTCCATCCCGGCCTTTTGGATTGTGGCCCTCACTTTCTTTTTAGTTTTTACAATCTAATTTTGTTATAAATGTAAATAAGGAAATTATTATCCGTCCCTCCCCCACTTTCCGCCCCGCAGCTATATAAGCTGAGGAAATTTAGCGGAGATCTATAGAACTAATTAAGGAAACAGAGGTAACGCTGTCGCCTGCCCTGCGTTGCCCGTCTGTCTCACTCGCTCCCTCCCAGATCCGACGCTCCAAATCCTTGAGAATCACAGCAGAGCACGAAGGGTATCGTCGAGGCTTGATCCATCCCGGATTACTTGCCGATCGATCGCAGGAGCTCCGCAGCTGATCTGACGCTTGATCGGATCCGGATCTGCCGAATCACGATCTAGGGTTATTTTGGTTTTTCTTGCCGGGCTTCTCGACCAGGAATGGCGTCCCAGCAGTCAGGTCCGGCCGGGACATCTCCGTCGGCCCAAGTGGTGAAGTTTCTAATAATGAAGCATGCCTGTTGATTTCTGTTATCGATATTTGAATCAGGTATTCGAGGGGTTTTGATAAATTTTTATTGATTTGGTGTGATGGATAGGTCGGGAATGCCTTTGTCCAGCAGTTCTACCACGTACTCCATCGATCACCGGCGCTCGTGCACCAATTCTATCAGGAGAGTAGCAAGCTGGGACGTCCAGAAGCCAAAGGAGAGATGATCACAGTTTCCACCTTGCAGGTAATTTCTTGTTTCTTTTGTTTAAGATTCCAATCGGAATTTGGTCCGAAAGGGAATATTGTCGTAAGGAGTTGTTTTTCATTGAACCTGATTGGTTTTAGTTCTGTGGTGAAGGGTATCGATGAGAAGATTCTATCTATGAACTACAGTGAGTACCTAGCACAGATCAAGACAGTGGATGCGCAGGAATCTCTTGATGGTGGAGTGATTGTTCTTGTGACGGGTTACCTCATTGGGAAGGATAATGTGAAGAGGGGATTCACACAGACATTCTTTCTTGCCACACAGGACAAGGGATACTATGTATCAAATGACATTTTTCGATATGTGGAAGATGCTGATCAGCAGGAGGAGGAGGAGGAGGAGGAGGAGCAGGGTCTTACCTATGATGCTGGTGCTCAGAACACGGAGCATGGTATGGTTTGGAAGAATATCTAAGCTTGATCCGATCAATTTCATAACCCTTTCTCTACTCAGTTCCCAGCGATTTATTTTCTTCATCCTGCAGATTCCGTTCCTTCACAGGAAGAAACTGTTCTTGAGCAAACTGCAGCAAGACCAGAAGAGGATGATGTAGTGAATGATGAGGAAACTTATGATCCTTCAGAATCTGTGGAAGGTTCAGCTGTTGAAGATGAAGATCCGGTAGAGGAGGTGATTAATGAAGTTCCAAATGATTCACAGGCTGTAGTAACTGTTCCGGGTCTTTCAAATGGACAAGAACACAAGAAATCTTATGCTTCTATTGTGAGTTCCAATATGCGTGCTTTCCATTTTTGTTTCAATTTAATAAGATAATGGATATGACCATCTCTTCAATCTTAAACCGTGTTGTTGTATGTTGCTTTTTTCTTTGTTTATTTATTTATTTTAGACGGACGGCAACTAGATTCTGATTTTAAATGAAAACTATTGACTTGAGTAGTGCCAACTTGAGTTGATATATTTATTAAATGGATAAAAAATCAAACTTGTCAGGAACACAGCTTCTATTGTGAGTGATAATATGGTTGCGTCATATTTCGTTTCAATTTAATAAGATAACGGAGATGGGCAGTTATTAAAAATTATAAAGTGTGTTATTATATGCTGCTTTTTTTTAGAAGGTCAGTAACAAGATTCAGCTTTAAAATGAAAATGAGTTACTTAATTAGTGCGAACTTGACTAGACCTGATTGCTGAAGTGATCAAACATTAAACTTGAGCCACTATTTAAGATAAAGGCACGTAAAAGAATCATTACCACATTGGAAATACCATTAGGTTAAGGTCACTTTATTACAACCTAAACATGAAGCGCTTAAATTTTAGTTGACCCGACCCGAAAATACAATGCTTGGGTTTTTCACAGTGATCAATTGATTTGTCTCTATTAATTAGGGTCATGTCCGTTGTATAACGATCATGCTCGTATTTTCATTTTATTGTCAACTCACGCATCATCAACTTCTTTGTGTTGCATACAAACTAACATGAATAAATGGATTGGCCAAATTGGATATGTACACAAAGTGAAACTAGAATGGGTTGAACATAGGGGTGTAAGTGAATCAAGCCAACTCGTGAGCCGACTCAATAAATTGCTTGTGAGTCAAGCTTGATGAGCTAATAAGCCGCAAGTTTGAGTCAGTCTCGACTTGATTCATTAGCTCATGAGTCAGCTCATTTAAACAATATTAATATAGATTAATCTTAAGGAATCTAAGTGAGAATCTCATCACTTATAAAAAAGGATATAAGAAAATATATATTAATTATTTTCTTATAAGAAAGTTAGAACATTTAGATTGTAAAGTTATTCCGAGTGAGAATTTTTGTACATAACATCAATTATTAGTTTTGGACTTTAAGATAAAAAAATAAAGTAAAATGATATTCTAGGATTAGATGGGGGCATTTAAGGAATATTAACAAAAATATTTTTGAGAGTAAGATTTTAGATCTTAAAATTTTGTCTGTGTATGAGGATGCTAATGTTATGTGAGAAAATGTGGCTAGTGCTATTAAAAATATTGCAAAAGATGTTCTTGGAGTATTAAATGGAAAAACTCATAATAGTAAAAATAGTTGGTGATGAAATCCAAATGTGCAAGAAAATATTAGAAATAAGAAGATTAGTTATCAAATTTTGTTTGGATGTAAAAATTATGATAATTGGAAAATATATAAAGAGGCATGTAAGGAATCTAAGAAAGTAATATGCGATGCAAATATCTTAACTTTTAATGATTTATATAATATATTAGATACTAAGGAGGGAGAAATATATATGTACAAGTTAGCCAAACATAGAGATATAAGTAGTAAGGATTTAGTTCAAGTGAAGTGTATAAGGATGAAGATCAAAAAGTACTTTTCTTAGAAGACTATATTCAACAAAGGTGGATGAGATATTTTGCTAAACTTTTTAATGAAGAATTTGAAAATATGATTGACTTTAGTGACCTTAGCATCCTAAATGCAAATAAAGATTTCTGTTTTTATCGGCGTGACGGCGTATTAGTAAAACCGAAATTAGAGAGACTTTAAAGAAAATGAAGTATAGAAAAGCTGTTGGACCTAATGATATTCCAATAGAGGTATGGAAATGTTTAGGGGATGAAGGAAATTTTTGGCTTACTAAACTGTTTAATATTGTTTTGAAGGTTACAAAAATGTCAGATCAGTGGAGAATGAGTGTGTTAATTCCTATTTTTAAGAATAAAGATGATGCACAAGATTATGTGAATTGTAGAGGAATTAAGCTAATGTGTTATACTTTAAAATTATGGGAGTGAGTTATGGGAGCGTAGGTTGCGGCATGAATACTAATGTTTCTTAAAATCAATTTGGATTCATGCCGGGTAGGTCTACTATGGAAGCCATACATTTAGTGAGAGGTATAATGGAGAAATATAAAGAGAATAAGGAGGATATACATATGATATTTATTGATTTAAAGAAAGCATATGATAAAGTTCCAAGAGAAGTGCTATGGAGAGTTCTTGAAAAGAAATGAGTTAAGAACACTTATATTCAAATTTTTAAAGATACGTATGCAGGAGCTATTACTTGTGTTCAAACACAAGGTAGTTTGACTAACTATTTTCCTATTTCGGTTAGATTACATCAAGGATCAGCCTTAAGCCCATATCTTTTTGCTTTAGTCATGGATGTTCTCACTAGACATTTGCAAGAGGATGTACCTTGATGTATGCTTTTTGCTGATGATATTCTTTGGGAGTTTAAGGTAAACTTGCATTATGGAGGTCAACCTTAGATTCTAAAGATTTCGCTCGAGTTGATCTAAAACTGAATGTATTTAGTGTAATTTTAGTAGTAATAGACCTAGTGAGGAGATTGTGACTTTGGGCGATCAAGTCATAAATAAGAGTGCACATTTTATATATCTTGGATCTATTGTTCAGAGTGATGGTGAAATAGATGGAGATATTATCAGCAGAATTCAAGTTGGATGGTTGAAGTGGAGGAATGCATCGGGCTTGTTGTGTGATAGAAAAGCCTCCTCAAACTTAAGGGAAAATTCTATAAGATGATGGTGAGACTTGCAATGTTTTATCATGTTGAATGTTGGCCATTAAAAGAGAAGCATAATACTAAGTTAAGTGTTGTAGAGATGAAGTTGTTGAGGTGGATGAGTGGCTTTACCCTTAGAGATAGGATACAAAATGAGCATACACGTGAAAAGGTTGGAGTAGCTCTAGTGGAAGATAAGATTAGAGAGAGTCGCCTTAGATGGTTTGGTCCCATAAAACGACTGCCTTCCGATGACCCGATTAGGAAAGTAGAGGTATTACATTTGACTTATGTTTAAGAAAGGTAGAGGTAGACCTAAAAAGGTTTGGTTAGAAAATATTAGAAATGATCTTTCTTTATTAGATTTAATCAAGAATTTGACTTTTAACAGAACACAATAGAGAAAAAGGATTAATGTAGCCGACCCCACGTAGTGGGACAAAGGCTTGATGTTGTTGTTGAATATAGATTAATCTTAAAATATATTAGAATTCAGGAGTTCAAAGTTATTAAAAATATTTAAAAATTATAGGCACATTTATTTTTATCGTGGTTTAAGTCTTGATGGACTTGAAAGTTATGTTTGCTTTCTTGAGCTCATGGATATGATAGTAGTGTGTTTAAGCTTGGTATATTATTAACAAAATGATAGTATGATTTTTATATCATTTTTATTTAATATGCTTTACTACTAAGTCCTGAGGTCAACTCATAGTTAAAAAGAATTTAATGAATTTAAAATTTAAAATTTTGTTTTAAAGGTATAAATTTGGCTTAAGTATGAGGCCTTGAAAAATAAGTTAAATTCGAGTACTCTACAAACAATGAAAAAAAACCCTAGTGGAGGAGATGTTGGTGAAGATGCCATATGCAAAGAAGCCCAACATGGGAGAAGGATTCATATTTGTGAGGCCAAGTCTCAAGTGCCAAGGCAAGGCAGTGAGACACTCAAGCGAGAATCAATGGTAAGTCGTGCTTGAAGACATGGGACTCACAAGCGTAGGAGTAATCCATGTGGAAGCGATGGTTTGATGCAAAGATGATTCGCGATATTGGTTCAATTACATGATCTAAAAGATAATGCAGAAGTTGGACATGCAACTAAAAGGAATTTTTTATCCTTCAAGCCGAACCTTAGAAGTCAATATGGAGTGGAGGAGAGATGTGATGATAATGAATCCAAATAAATGTTTTGTTATTATGTTGAATTTTGAGATAGTTGAAGTTTATTTCTCCCTTTTTCCTTGCTTCAACTTCACTATGAATGGAGCAAGCGGTGTTCTATATCAACCCTTGATTTTAAAAAGCTACTTAAAAGGAAAAAAAATATTTGAACCAACCATTCAAAATCTCTCATTATTTAAAACTTAAAATCCTTGTATGAAGATGTATTTTACTATCTTCACCTTAACTATAGGAAGCGGCAACATCCAAACTCTCAAACATAGAATATAGAGACAAAGCAATTTAAAAGAAACTCCACAAATTTGGGAGGAACAAGACTGATAAGATGACAATTGTCTTGAGAATAGGATAACACCATATGCATTTAAATTAAATCATCAATTTAAACATCTAAATGATTACAAATAAATTTGAAATTAAAATTACAAAATTTAAAATTTAAAATGATCGACATATTTTGCATATCTGATGATTTTATGCTTTACTTTCACATTGTCATTTTTCTTTGGCTTGGTAATCTGCTGGAATTCTAAATGTTTATACTCGTCAAAAAGACAGTATGTGAGTGCTAGGACGAACATAGTGACATTTTGCATTTTTATATTATTTTTGTTATCTTATTTTCTATTTTCTGGTTTAATTTGATGTAACATGCCTATGATAATGATGTCTATGTGATCGGAATGTGATCCCTTATATTTGAATTAACTTTGCGGGCTTGATTTACTATTGCAAATCATTTTCAATTTGTCATTTTTATTCTTCCAATCAGTTATTTATGATCCCATGTTTTGCCTAGCTAATTACTAATTAGTTTGGGATATCTTGCTCAAATCCTTTTGCTCTATACTATGATGCACCGACACGGCACTTAAAGAGGGTATGCAGTGTCGGACACGTGTCGGATACGGACACTCGTCATACACGGCATGGACACGTGTCTGACACGGCATTGGAGTGTCGCAAAATTAAAATTAAAATCGGACACGCGTGTCCGGTTATTAAATGAGGTATCGCTAGGTACATGCCGGTATCGCTAGGTACATGCTCGGTACCACTCAGTACATGCTCAGTACCGCTCAGTACATGCTCGGCACTGCTCAATATATGCTTGGTACCGCTCAGTACATGCGCGGTATTGCTCAATATATGCTCGGTACCGCTTGGTACATGCTCGGTACTGCTAGATACATGCTCGGTACCGTTCAGTACCGCTAGGTACATGCTCGGTACTGTTAGGTACATGCTCGGTACTGCTAGGTACATGCTCGACGGTACCACTCAGTATCTTCCCATACAAACAACTTACGAACTTTAAAAACAATCAGAACTTCAAAATTACTCTTACAATAAAATTTTGTTACGGGGGCAGCGCCCCCTTGGACCCCCGGCAGACCGGTATATTGTTGTATTCATGTTGTCTTATTATTGGGATATTTTGATTTCACTTCATATCAATTTAATTTGATGTATTCATATGTGTGATTGGTTTGTTAGCAAAATGAGCTTTGCTGCTGCTGGCGGGGGTGGATTAGGTGAAGGTTCAAAAGAGCCATATGTCCACGCCGTCTCCGTGTCCTATATTTTTAAAAATTATTATATATTATATTTAAAAATTATTATGCCGTGTCCACGCCGCACCCGTGTCCTATATTTTTAAAAATTGTCGTGTCCCATGTCCGTGTTGTGTCGTGTCCGTGTCCGTGCATCATAGGCTCTATATCATTGGAGGCACCTTTTTTGTTGTAGTTTTTTACTATTACAGCTTTTGTTGCTTTTTTTGGTTTTTTTGTGGTTTCATGTGTTGTATTTTCCATGTGCAAATCCTATTCCCTTTTGTAGTAGCCTCTCATATTTTCTTTATAGACATTGAATTTGCAGCTTTTCTATTATGGCACTAGGCACATTTTCTTGGCTTCTTACGACTTTCCTATAGTAATCTACAAAGAATGCCTTCCTCATGCATGGCTTGGTGCTGTAGTAGGGAATGATTATTATTGTTTTCAATCTACTTTAGTAAATAATATTGAATTGGAATCCTAGATTATTGAAATGAGGATTTACAGTTTTTAATTAGAATGAAGGTATTAAAAGAAACTGTTTAATATGGATCTTTTTGGATTATAAATAGGAACCCTGAGACAAAATAACTCATTCAATGGTTTAAAAATTTTAGATTTCTTATCGAACTTGTATATGTTTGTTGGATGTGAATTCTTCCAATGTAGTGCAAGTCTGATAGGAATCTGATCTCCACACATAAAAAACAACAATAATGAAGAGAAAATGTAGCAAAAATCAGCAAGAAGGGTTGAGATTATAGGCTAATTGATTTTAATATCGACATAACTAATCAAGATGCAAGTTGATTTACTATTCGAGAGGTAGATTGACTCTCCCCAAACCCTAGGCGCCGCTAGGAACAACTCCAAAGAGAACTACAATAAAAATATAAATCACATAATGAAAATAAATTAACTTAATTAATCTAAATAAGCTTCCCTAATTCCCCCCAAATCTAAATTCAAATCAGTACTATTTCCATAAATAAATTATTCTAATTACCTCATCGAAGAAAGGAGATCGAAGTACGTGGATGGATCCGTAGATGTCGTATTCGAGTCCGTGATCAATGGCGGGATCCTCCATGCAACATTGACTTGTGGATGAGAGATCACGACAAGAAATTCCAAGAGGGGAGGGGTTGGCCGGTGTTGAGGCTTGGGATGAGAGGGGGCGGCTAGGTTAGAGAATTACTTAGGGAAGTTTTAATAAATCTGAAATTAATTTCAGATTTAAGTGGTTTTGGAGGGAGTAATTTGAATTTCAATTTCAAAATTAATGAGGGTGGGGGGCTAATTTGGCAAGAGTGGGAATTTGCCCATGAATGGGGTCGGCGGCATAAAGAGGAGAGGGGAGAGGGGTTTTGTGTAGAAAACTGAAATCAATTTCAGTTTTAAGTGAAATTGGAGGGAAGTTTCTTGAAATTAATTTTGGATTTCAAAATAGGGAGTAGGGGTTAATTGGGCATTTAATGGGAAGCCCAATGAGGGGGGGCTGGCAGCATCAAGGAGGTGGGGAGAAGTTTGGGAGAGGAGAGGGGGTTTCCAAATTGGGATGATGACTAGGAAAGAAATTCTAATGAATCCAATTCAATTTGAATTAAAAATTGAATTCAAAAAATTTAAAACTTTCCTAAATTGGGCTTTCCTAATTTGTAAAGAATTTGAATTTTGAAATTCAAATTTCAAAGAAGGCTAGGGGAGAGAGGGGTGGCTGGAGGATGGGGGGGAGAGGTCGGCGGCAAGGTGGCCAGCCGGTGGAGCTAGGGTGGCCGGCGGGTTGGGGCTCCAAGGGCGGCGGCAACAGAGGGGCTCGGGTTCTCTAGTGCTTGAGTTGGATTGTTGTTTGTATGGTGGAGAAGGTGGAAGAATAGAGATTACAAGCCTCACGACTCCTCCAATAGAACTCACACAGAGATATAGGAGAATTGAACTCACCAAGAGATCAAAAAAACATGAACTCACAAAGAGAACACAAAGAGAAGAATTTCATTTCAATAATCAATAATCCTCATACAAGATACAAGAGCCATATATATAGGCTCTACATGACAACTAATACAAAACACTAATATGCCCCTTGGGCTACAAAAGCAATCAACTACCCATAAGGGCAAAAGTGAAAAAAATGAAAATAAATACATAATACATGAAATGCTAATACAAAATAGGCATCAATAGTAAAGGCTCTCCATCATGGACATCGATCTCCAGTGTTGTCTCTGATAAACGTGCCGAAATCTCCTGTCGATGCCCCCATCAGAATGATTATTATTGTTTTCACTCTAGTTTAGTAAATAATATTGAATTGGAATCCTAGATTATTGAAATGAGGATTTACCGTTTTTAATTAGAATGTAGGTATTAAAAGAAACTGTTTAATATGGATCTTTTTGGATTATAAATAGGAACCCTGTATAACTCATTCAGTGGTTTAAAAAATTTAGATTTCTTATCGAACTTGTATATGTTTGTTGGATGTGAATTCTTCCAATGTAGTGCAAGTCTGATAGGAATCTGGTCTCCACACATAAAAAAAATAATGAAGAGAAAATGTAGCAAGAATCAGCAAGAAGGGTTGAGATTATAGGCTAATTGATTTTAATATCGGCATAACAAACCAAGATGCAAGTTGATTTACTATTTGAGAGGTAGATTGACTCTCCCCAAACCCTGGGCGCCGCTAGGAACAATTCCAAAGAGAACTACAGTAAAAATATAAATAACATAATGAAAATAAAATAATCTAATTAATCTAAATAAGCTTCTCTAATTCCCCCCCAAATCTAAATTCAAATCAGTCCTATTTCCATAAATAAATTATTCTAATTACCTCCCAAATTTGAATTCAAATATGCCCACTTTCCCTAAACAAACCTTCTTAATTTCTTCCTAAATTTGAATTCAACTAAGTCTTCTTTCCCTAAATAAACCTTCTTAATTCCCTCTCAAATTTGAATTCAAATCATACATCTTTTCCTAAATATACCTTCCTAATTCCCTCCCAAATCTAAATTCAAATCAGCCCTCTTTCTCTAAATAAACCTTTCTAATTCCCTCCCAATTTTGATTTTATATGATAAGTAATTAAAGGTAGAATTAATCCACTTTGAGCCCTCTCTCACCTTGCTTCGTTTCCCACACTAGTAAGGCCCACATGGCTCTTCCACCCGCCAGCTAGACCGACCCCCACTAAGGGAAGTTTTCATCTTGTATTGGTGGAAATCTTGAATCAACTCTTTAGTGATTTCTCACACATCTCTTTTTTCATTTAAGTTATTATATTCCATGTCAAAATAGATGATGTATTGTTGATGTTATTATATTCCATCTTCTTTAGTTATTATATCTTGTATTGGTGGAAATCTTAACTAAATTAATAGATGATGTATTGTTGATGTTGTTTGTTCATTTTTGTGTCTGGTCCTAGATTTGCATAAGGGAAACCCTAGACCCTAAAAAGTCATGCATCAGAATCCTAGCAGTCATAAAAATTCATAAGGCTTCTGTCATAGTGGGACACACTCTTTGCTGGACCAAATGCCAATCTCTCACATGCCAATCCCTGACACATGAAATTGTGGAACTGTATCCCAGCCTTTTAGCAAACTATAATTGAAGTAATAGTGTAATAATTGATATCTAATGGATTTAGGTGATGGTGATGAAAGAGATCAATACACCTATATCAGTTCCTACATCAGCTCCTGCAAGGGTGGCGCCATTCAACACAGAGAGACAGGCTGTTGCTCCTGCACCAGTATTGGCACCTTCATCTGAGGTCATTGTAGCAAGTTCTAAAGTTGAAGAAAGCAGCAATGCCCAAGAATTAGAAGGTAAGACCACTTATTTGAATTTCTCTATTCTTCAATTCTTTATTAACCATATTATGCTCTTGCATCTTTGTCTTTAGCTGATGGATTTTCAATATACATAAAGAATTTGCCATTGAATGCTACTGCCGCTCAACTTGAAGAGGAATTCAGGAAGTTTGGTCCAATTAAACCTAATGGCATCCAAGTTAGAAGCAACAAGGTTTAATTGCTTTTGGAACTCTGTACTTTATTTTCAATCGTACTTAATTTTATACATTTAGTTATCTATCAATCATCTTTTTTTAAAAAGGAAATACATTCATTTTTCATTGGAATGCAGTTAAAAGGGTTCTGTTTTGGTTTTGTGGAGTTTGAGGTGGCTGACGCTGTCCAAAGAGCAATAGAGGTAAATCATGAAAGTTACTGATGACTTAGTTTTTCTTGTAAGCTTAACTATAATTTTGTAAAAAAACAACGCATTCAACCTTCTAGGCTTCATTTTCACATCGAACTTCTGGAGTTTTGAGTTGTGTTAATTGCAATTTTTTTTCCCAAATATATCTTTGAGCTATCATCAAACACTATCCCATTTCTCAAATATGCTATTATTTTGTATGTATGGGCCTTTGCTATCTCAATGACTTGTCAATCAATGTTTAGCACTTCTAAATAAATGCAGATAAGATTTTTTCCACAAGAATGATATTTTTATTTTTGTAATTTAATTCTTGTAATTGTTTTCGAATCTCTTTTGTGGAAATAGGATTAATTTGTTAAATTTTTTTAATATTATTCTTGATGTTGCATACATTATATTTGTCCCATTTTATTTATTTTCTCGTGAGATGTTTATAAAAAGATAGTCGGTGGATTCAGCTTTTAAACTTTCATGTTTCTATTTCTGTTATATATTAGCACAAATAATAATACTATTATTATCATGTAAGGCCATAAACAGAAAGAATTGATAGTTTAGTTAACCTGTAGCTATTGAGAGGTTTGAAGTCATAATATCAGACAGATCATACTTTCTACATTTTTCTCTCCAACCAAAAGTTCGTACCCAATATATTAGTCCCTGCTAATGCAAGAAATTGGAACTTATTGATTGGCACAATCTTATCCTTGCGCATTTACAAGGAGATTGTTTTTTGTGACTCAACTTGTAACTTAACAATCGCTTTAAGCCTTTCTTATTACTTTTTCTACTCCAATTGATTTGATGAATATTGTTAAATGGTTAATCATCTTGATGTTCAAATGTTCTATCATATGGCGATAATTTCTTATGGTCTTACATTTGTATTTAAGGTTAGTTTGGCATGATCATCAGAAGAAAATAAATGAATGATATCACAAGAGGATAAAGTGAACATATTGTAATTATCATATTCATCAGTAGCATTATCCTAGATATTAATTTTTGAATTCACAATCTAATTTCTTTTTTTGTAGTATTGTTGAGATGTTAAATTTATTTTTCACAAATATAGTTACACATTTTCTATATATATTATTTTAATTTGCCCCTTTTTTTCCTAGTTCTCCCACGTTAACTTTATATAGCCTTCTTATTGGCTCTTCTTCTATCTTAAGTTTCACATGTTAAAACTACTTAAGTGTGTTTCTCACTTTCTAATATTCAGAAGGTGATAGTCGTCATTACCTCTTGTTTGGAATTTTATCAATGTGCTCTTATTATCTTTGCCATACATTCATGTAACATTTACAATTTTTTCCAACTCATTTTATATAGTTTAACTTTAAATCTCTATCATAGTCTTTTATTGCATAATATTCCTAAGACATTTCTCTATGTTAATCGGTCATTCTTAACTATTAAGTTATATTCTCATCTATATTCTCTTATGCAGTAGACTCAAGATACTTAACCCTATCACACTTGATACGAGTTAATCTTGTAATAATATGGAGTCATAACTATTAATTTATCAATTTCATGGTGGAGTGATTAGTTTTGATGCAAATTATTTTTTTACATTTCTATCATCCTTGGCTTAGTGTTCAGATGTAAACGTCTTCATTTTCTTTGTTGGTCAAAGACCACCTTCCTTAAAGGAGTAGCTTCGGTTTTCTCTTTTAAGGGAATGCAAGATCAGAGGAAGAAATAATTTGAACAAAAACCCTCATTCAAATCAAATAGAAAATAGGAAATTCACACTCATTAAAATTGTATATCGTATACTCAATTATTATTCTACAAAAGGTTTAATACTATTCTTTGAAAATTTTCTTAAAAATTTCTTCAATTTCTTCAACTTTTCCCTTATTTTATCAGAGATTTCGATATAATATTGTCATTTGCAAATAACATTCAACAAAGGTACCTCACCTTGAATGCTAGTAAGATGCAACGTGTTTCATAATATTGATGTGAATGGTGCAATATCTGTTGGGGAGAGAATCGTTCTGCATCTTTGACAAATTGATTTAGCAGTGGCTGGGCCTTTTCAAATGTAGAGCTATCATTTCTACTATTTTCAACTGTTTTGGAGAAGCAATCAACCGCTATAAAAGTTCCTTTAGATCATATCAATCTCAAAAAGTGGAATTTAAAATTACCACGACAGCCATTTTTACTTATTGACAAGACAAGTATTCTGCTTCTTGTGATAATTGACCTTTGAAAACTTACATGTACTTCATCCTTTTATAGGTTTCACCCATACTTATTGGTGGTCGCCAGGCTTATGTTGAGGAGAAGCGTGCAACTGGCTCAAGAGGTATGGTTTGTTTGCGTTTTCTTTTCTAAGCCCTTAAATGATAATTAATAACTCGTCAAAAATCCTTTATTTTAGGTGGTCAGTTCCTCAAGTATTATGTTATATTTTAATAATTTTTATTGCACCTGACAAGTTTCATGCAACAATCATTTGAACATCAAATAATTTTATTTCCATCATTGATATTTGCTGACCCTGCCAATTTCCATTCAGCAATTCTTATTGTTTGCTGATGTCTGAAGTTTTATTGTTGTTTACCTAACAACAACATCGAACTTTTGTCCTATTATGTGGGGTCAACTATATGAATCCTTTTTTCTCCATTTAAATCTAATAAAGAAAGACCATTTCTAATATTTTCTAACCAAGTCTTTTTAGATCTATCTCTATCTTTCTTAATATAAGTCAAATCTAAAACTTTCCTAACCGGGTCATCGAAAGGCCGTCGTTTTATGCAACCAAACCATCTAAGTCAAGAAAATACAATCTACTGACACTTAAGCGCATGATAATGAGATTTCTGGATATCTTCTTGGTTTATGATATTCTCCTTGGTTGATTCATCTAATGCTTCCTACATGCAGTTAATAACCGAGGGAGGTATCCACCCGGTAGGGGCGGAGGTTTTCGTGGCGATGGATTGAGGAGTCGGGGGAGCTATGGTGGTGGAAGAGGTTATGGAAGAGGAGGAGATTACAATTACAGGTCTGATTTTGGGAGCAGAGGTGGCGGCCGCGGGAATGTTGCTTCCGGCCGAGGCGAGGTGGGATATCAGAGGGTTGATCACATTGGCCCCAACAATGGGCGTGGAAGTCGCCCAGAATCACCCTCTATCACCTCTTCATAAAGCACTACTGCAGCTGCAGGGGATTGGTGGTTCTTCAGAAGTTGTTAATCCAGCAGTCAAGGTTAGTATACCTTGATTTTCATGATTGAACTCTTTGAAAGGCTGTAGTGTTGATGAGATTGCAAAGTCTTATATTTTATCAGCTTTTCAGCATTTCATTTTTGTGGTTGAGGCATTAGGACGAACATGTTATGTGATTTTGTAGAATACGCAATATTTGTTCACAGCTTTGTTTGTTTTTGCTGCTATAAGTACATAGGAGGCTTAAAATTTTGAGTCTTGTATTCTTGTTTGTTTCCTTTAGTTAGAATCTACTCCCCTTGCACATTGCAGGATTTGCATTTTATAATTTGACATTTTCTTCCAACCTCAAGTAAAACAATTGATTACTTGAACGAGTTATGTTTAAGACTGGCCGTTTTTTTTTTACATGTATTTTATATTTGTTATTAGATGAGGTAGAATCCTTTCATCAAATGTCGAATGCAGTAGGAGGGTTGCGTCAGTCTTTAAAAAAAAAACAGATTATTGAAGCAAAATGAATTTTTTTTTTCATATTAGTTGCTGCACATATCCTCATTTGAAAGTTTGGAATGTTAGATTTTTAAAACCAAAGAAACAAAAATTAATTTTTTAGATGGAGCCTTAATTCAGTATAAAAAATAGTACTAATAGCTGCTGTGAATTGTTGTTATGCTTGTATTTATCTCGGTTGAAGGAGACGTCTTTATTTTCATGGGAAGTAGATCTTGCAAAAGTAATTAGAGAATTATGTGCATGGGTTTTACACAATGGAAATGTCCGAGCACAGGAGAACCTCATCTTACCCACGTCTCTCTTTCTCAATAAATGCTGCTAGCATTCTTTTCTATAATTATGTTAGCTTTGTAATAGAACTCTAAAAAGCGTAGTATAAAAATTATAACATCAAGTTTTTTATTTTTTTTTTCACATTTATGTTAATTAAAATAAACTCATATATATCACTTATACAAGATTTAAATTTAAGATCTTTTAAATGATAGTGAAAGGTCTAAACCAACAGATCAAAAAGAACTGTCTATTAGATCTCAAACAGGAGAAATTATTTTGTGTGGACATCGGATGGAGAGAACTGTCTGAATTTGCTGCCTTTTAGTTGCAATTTCGGAATTTCGGAAGAGGAAGTTAAAGAGCAACAAGTATTTAATATTTATTAAATAATTGAATATTTATCGCGCTTTTGCAAAAAAAAAAAAAAAACAGCAAAAGTGCAATAAAAATGCATTTATAGTTAAATATTTGTTATCATTTTACTGTTCTTTTTTGTAAAAGAGCAGCAAAACTGTAGTAAATCCGAACAGTTCTCTCCGTCCGATATCTGCAAACAGTTTGTTGAATCTTTCCAATGCAAGAGACAACAATATGCCAATTTTGTTCATAATATTTCAAGATTTTTCTAACAAATAAATGAAACTCATCAAATAGTTAGAGATGGGCATTGCCAACAATGGCAAGGGCATCCTTGACACAGGCAATTAGTACCTCAACAGAGCAATTGAAATAAAAAAACTCTAACCCATATTGCAGCCAAATTAGCCGATTGTATTTCCCTATTCACTCAATATGTGCAAATGTATGTAATTTGGAATTCTCAGATGATCACATGAGAGAGCCCACCTTCGTATAAGGCCATTCTAGGAAAATGATTATAAGCCACTCCACAGAGAATAGCCCTAATAAGCCCAAAAGAGAGTCTTAACTCTTGAATTCTTCGCAACGATAAAAAAAGGTCGAACTTGAACAAAACCAAGATATGAGAGGCAAAAGTTGCAATACTTCTTTCACATCTTTCGCTTGGAGTAGTTCAGCAGCTTCTCTAGAAAAAAAATAGACTTTTATTTCTACTATGCCAACTTATAAATACCCCATTGTACAAAGAGAATATACTTGTTCCAGGCACTCGTTAGTCATTTGAATTGCTAAGGAACGTCTCAAGCAAGTTTAGGGCCCTTCGATAAAAAGGTCACTCAGATATGCACAACAGAGGATTTTGTTGAATTATTTTTTTTATTAGTAAAAGCATTTCTACTGCAAGGAGAGTAAAACTACAGCTGGCTATTAATTTGAAATAGTTGAAAAAAGTATTAGATGATACCTAAGATGGAATTAAGCTTTAGGATTGCTAGAAGTAATATGTTAGACCGGTCCCACTTAAACCGGCATGATTGGGTCGGTCCACCCTAGGGGTATCAATTATTGACCCGACTTGGAAAAACTGGATTTGGGTCGACCCGTTTAACAAATGGATCATGTTCATATTCCATTGTATGAGCCGTTTAAAAAAATATGGTTGGGTTCGAGTCAACCTGGTAACCCGAATTTGACCCGGATATGACTCGAGTTCCGACTGGCACCCACCTTCCTTGTTTCCCGCACTACTGCATCCACCGCACTGCACTTGCAGAGGTAGGGCAGTCGCGCTCACATCGCCTGTGCATGCGTCGCTTGCACTCTCATCGCCTGCGGCCCCGCGTTCACCTTGCAAGCCCTCTTCACAATCGCAACCCAGCACCCGCGCTCACACCCCTTAGCACAGTAGTGTGCGCTCTCGCGCCTGGCCCTTGCCTGCTCTCCCTCATGGTCCAAACCCTCGCCCTCACCCATGTGGCCCGCACCATCACAAGCCTACAGCTACTCGCAACCCAGGTCAGTGGGTTGGGTCGAGTAAACTCGGTTGTTAGGACAAATGTGGAGAAGTAAACACCACAATGATGAAACAAGCAAGAAAGTAAAAGTATTGGAAATGTAAAGGACACTAGGATTTAATGTAGGAAAACCCAAAATAGGGGAAAAAACTACAGAATCACACCACACCAAGAAATTCACTATAAAAATTGAAAGAAATAAGTACAGATTTCTCTTCTCTCTCTGTCTCATTGCTTCTCTTCTCACATGCACAATTTTTAATGTCTACACACTCAAAATACAAGAGAAAGGCAAGTAAAATAACCCTAAGGGACGCAACCCTTTAAAAAACACGAGAAAGAACCCATTTAGTCTGTCTCATAGTGCGTCTTGATCCGCTGTGGCGCCATATACCATTATCGTGCTTTGCTCTCTGTCATTCATCGTTGGGGCACTCGTGAACATAGCGTCGGGACACTCGAGTACGTAGCATTGGGGCGCTCAGGTATACAGCGCTGGGGTGTTGTAAGGGAAAAAAATTTGGGTGCAAAGCACCAGAACTTCAACAGGGGGTAAACTGAACCGCACCGCACCACCAGCGAACACAATAAGTTTTGAGGTTCGAGACAATTAAATAAATAGCGAGACGGGTCGATTCAAACCAATAATCCAACGAGTTGGGTTTGGATCCGAATTCCTGACCCGTTTGCCTAATAGGGTCAGGTTTGGGTTGGATTAGTTAAAGGAGGGTCAATTTCGGGTTGGACCTTAAATCGACTAGAAAATCCATTTTGACACCCCTGGTTCACGCGAGATTGGCTAGGGTATATTCTAAGCGAAAGCCTGGTTTACCTCAGCCGCATTGGGGTGGGGCCCAAGGATTAATGCAAAGGGAGGAGGGGGCGACTAGGAGGAAAATTCAAATTGGGAGGGTTATTTTGGGTATTTGCTGGATATTGTATACTTTTAAGTAGTTTCGTAAAACCTAGGGTTGGATTATGTGAGATTTGGCTGAAGTTAATATTCCTAAGGGGCTCTAGCGAGGCGGCTAGGGTTTTGGGAGAGAGATATTTCTCTCAAATTGAAGATCCATTGTATCTTGTTTATTTTCTTCCATATATCATTAATTAAAATGTTCTCTTTTGTTATTCCTTATAGTTCTTCTTTTAGGATTTGTTGAAATTAAAATTTAGCCAAGCATTTATTTTATTTATACAAGCACTTCCTATCATATTAGTGTTAGGCTTACCGCTACCCTCAGATCAAGAAGGATGAGATTCAGAAGCTGATTTAGGTGATGTTTGAGGTCAGGATCATCATGCCGAGTGTGGACTCTTTTTCTAACCCAGTCTTATTGGTTAAGAAAAATGATGGGTGCTAGAGATTCTGTCTGGATTATCGGGCCCTGAATAATGAAACTGTGCAAGACAAGTTTCCTATTTCGGTGATAGATGAGTTGTTGGATGAGCTATCTGGAGCAGTTGTATTCATGAAAATAGATTTGAAGTCCGAGTAACATTAAATCAGAATGAGAGAGGAGAACGTCCCAAAGATTGCATTCCGGATCCATGTGGGACACTACGAGCAAGTTTCCTATTCTTGTGATCGATTAGTTATTGGGTGAGCTATGTGGAGCAGTGGTGTTATGAAGATGGATCTAAAGTTCGGGTATCATCAAATTAGAATGAGAGAGGAGGACGTCTCGAAGACTGTATTTCGGACCTATGAGAGACACTATGAGTTCTTGGTGATGTCGTTTGGTCTCATCAATGCCCCTGCTACATTCCATCCCCTCATGAATATGGTGTTCCAACCATACCTCAAGAGATTTGTACTAATTTTCTTTGATAACATCCTGGTGTACAATAAGTCGGATGAGGAGCATTTAGAGCACTTGAAGGTGGTGTTGGTGGTGCTATAGGGGCATTAGCTGTGGGCAAACATGAAGAAGTGTTGCTTTGCACAGACTAGTGTGGAATACTCTGGGCACATGTATCTTAGGAGGGGATGGCTGCTGATCAGGCGAAGATTGAGGCTATGTTGAAATGGTCCCTACCTTAGACTCTGAAAGAGTTGAGGGATTTCCTAGGGTTGATCAGGTACTACATGAGGTTTATGAGGGGATACAACACTATAGCTTGGCCACTGACAGTGCAGCTGAAGAAGGATAGTTTTATGTGAGGAGAGGCAACTACCCATGCTTTAGAGAGATAGAAGAAGGCCATGACCACAGTACCAATCTCAAACCTACCAGATTTTAGACAGGTTTTTCTGGTGAAGATCCATGCATCAAGGTATAAATTGGGGGCAGTATTTATGCATAATTATAGGCCCATAACTTACTTCAACTAGGTGTTGACAGCCAGGGCGAGGTTGAAGTCAGTCTATAAAAGAGAGTTGATGGTTGGTCATAGGCCGTTCAGAAGTGGCGGTCTTACTTTCTTGGCAAACATTTCATTATCAGGACAGACTATTGGAGCTTGAAATACATGTTAGAGCATAAGATGATAAGTAAGGAGCACCAGAGGTGGTTATCAAACCTTTTGGGATATGATTTTGATATCTACTACATGCCAGAGCTAGATAAAAAGGCAGTTGATGCATTGTCCATATGCATGTTGGAGGTACAGGAGTTGGCTATTTCGATACCATTGATGTTAGATTTTTTTTTTTTTTTT